ATAAGACGAGCCCCAATTTTAAACCTAACTTTGTGGTTAAAAAAAACCCTAGTCTTATACACAGAAAAATACAGTGATCTGAATGATGAAGCTCAGGTTGGTAGGATTCTGGGGGGAAAGCAGTTGCTAACAACCCAGCAGTGCCCATGTTGATGCAGTCCTCTCCATGTGGGGGGCCCAGGGCCATTGCTCCTGATGCCCTGCACTGAAAAGAGCCTGCCAGCATCCCCTCCCCACCTCCAAATTCAAATTGGCTGAGAGGTTGAATATTCAAGGAAGGCACTTTCGGAGCAAGAGTATTCATACTCAGCATGGTGGGTAAAAAAGGTAAAGAGGCCCCTGACCATTAGATCCAGTCGTGGCTGACTCTGGGGTTGCGGCGCTCATCTCGCTTTACTGGCCGAGGGAGCGGGCCTACAGCTTCCGGGTCATGTGGCCAGCATGACTAAGCCGCTTCTGGCGAACCAGAGCAGCACACGGAAACGCCGTTTACCTTCCTGCCGGAGCGGCACCTATTTATCTACTTGCACTTTGACGTGCTTTCGAACTGCTAGGTTGGCAGGAGCAGGGACCGAGCAACGGGAGCTCACCCCATCGCGGGGATTTGAACCGCCGACCTTCTGATCGGCAAGTCCTAGGCTCTGTGGTTTAACCCACAGCGCCACCCGCGTCCCACCGCATGGTGGGATCTTGATGCAAAAGACAAGCAGATGGATTGTGATCTTGTAAAAGTTACCAGGAACTTAAGCAGATGTGGAGGAGCAGAGGAGAAGAGAGGCGAGTGGAGGAAAACCATTGCTGAACTTTTTCTTTTCTTCTACCTCTGTTGAACCACATACACAAGCGTAAAAGACTGATCAAATGCGATGCTTATTTGCATGTTCATTACTGGGATGCAATTACTGTGGCCTATTTGGTTTTAGCAAGCGTGTTTAATTTGCATAACTAAAGGTGGCCACTTGAGGGCGCTATTGCAGCAGGATAGAAACCAAAGGAAGAGACAGTCAAAACTTACTTTATTTATAAGAGCCAGGTGGAGCTCAATGGCTTTTTTCTTTTCCAGCCCCCTTCCTCATAACTGACCAATAGCAGAGCAGTGTGGAAATGCTCTTCTGCAAAAAAATCAGTACCTTTGCCACCCAGTGTTTTTATTTTTCATTTAAATGATAGAATGGATGGATGAAACTCCAGCCAACATCATTTTTTCTCTGCTGGACAGGTCACATAATGGGAGGTTGTGTTTTGCATGGACAAGAAACAGGGACACGAGGGTCAGAGGCAACGGATGAAAATTATTCAGGCATGTATATACACACAAACAAACAAAACTCAAGGATCCCTGATGCCGGAATAGCAGCTGATGGTGGGGGAAAGGAAGGAGAAATAGTTCAACTTCACAAGGTCATAAAGGAACATTTATGCAGGAAGCCATCATTTGCAAAATAAATAAAAACAAGAGCAGCCGTTGGAAGCTTCAGTGGTCAAGCTGCAGCTGCCATTTAATGTCCTCGGCCTTTTTCATTTTGATAAAATTCAGCCACCCAGGCTGCGAACTAAAGATAGTTAGATGTATATTTTATCTGGTGAGGGGGAGAGATGGGAATACAGACCCTCTCCATCACCTCTGCCTTCCTGTCCACCTTCCTCTCCTTTTTTAACAGCTGGTCATTCCAGCTTCTTTTCCTGTTCTTTCCCCTAATTTTTCCTTTTGTCTCATGCCTTTTAGACTATAAGCATGGAAGGCAGGGATGTAAGCAGCTCTGGAAGGCTTTTTCAGTCGAACAGCATGATATAAATCAGGGTTCAGCAAACTTTTTCAGCAGCGGGCCGGTCCACCGTCCCTCAGACCATGTGGTGGGCTGGACTATATTTTTGGGGGGAAATGAACGAATTCCTATGCCCCACAAATAACCCAGAGATGCATTTTAAATAAAAGCACACATTCTATTCATGCAAAAACACGCTGGTTCCCGGACTGTCCGCGGGCTGGATTGAGAAGGCGATTCAGCCGAATCTGGCTCCTGGACCTTAGTTTGCCTACTCATGGTATAAATGCTTTAAATAGATAAACAAATGTTTTCTTCAAGGGGTTTAAGGTGGCAAACAACACCTTCCTTCCCATTTTGTCCTTACAACAACACTGTGAGGTAGGCCAAGGCTAAGAGAAATGTGACTGATTCAAAGTCATGAAGTAACCTTCATGGATGACTAAAAATTTGTTGCTGGTCTCTACAATCCTGGTGCAACATTCGAACCACTGTGTTCCCTCAGTTCAGACCAAAGCAAGGACCTAGGTAACTTTTTGCCTCACCAGGAAAAAAAATATGTGGTAAGTTGTCACCTCAGACAAGAGACAAGCCGAGCTTAATTAGCTTTTGGCACTCCAAGCCTTAATCAAATTATAGCGCCTACTGGACCAAGAAATTTAAGGGAGTCTTAACTCATAACAATATATCGGTGAAAAGAACACACACAAAATGTATTATTTTAGGAGAAATTGCTTGCCAAAATAAGGGGGGAAATGTACACTGAAATTTTGATGAATTTTTATGAGGACTTAAAAATAAATCAATCACAAATTGATTTTAAAATGTGCCAAATGCAATTTAAGATTGGGAAAAAATGAAAAACAGAGAGAAGCTTGAACTGACAACCTGATCCGCCCTGAGTGGTGGCTGCTGATTTTGGCAGCAACCCCCTATATGCTTATCTGAGAGTAAGACCCACTGAAAGTTACATCAGAATGAAAATGGACCGGATTTCAGCTCAATAGGCTTGGGAGAGGAACAGATGGAGTCATGAAAAGTAGATCTATCTGTGACTAGTGATCTTTAACAGAAACCTATGGAGGTGGTGAGCAGGTGTTTTTCATCAACAACAAGGGATTTATCTACAACCTTCATCTCTTGTTCCTGAGCATCGGGAGGTGTCAAGCTGACTCCTTTGCTATCAGAAAAATAGATTAAATGGGCAGCAGGCGCACATAACAATATGTGCTTTTATATACAGTTAATCCCTTGATGTTTTATCGCCGAAGGTTACTGGGAATTTGGAGGCTTCATCAAACCTTGAACTAATCCTGTGCAGCAGTACACAGGTGTTCTATTTTTAAAGGCCGTTTAGCTCTCTCTGAGTCTCCTGTGTTTTCATCTCAAGGGGTTGCTTCTGAATTTCCAGTCTGTAATTTTTGATTATCCGAGAGAAACGAGTCGAATCTGCAACAAAATGTTGCAACATGGGAGTGCTTCCTCTTCCTGTCACTCACCCTTTGCCAATTTTCTGCCCTCCCCCGCTCCCAACAGTGTGTCAACATTCTATTGCAGCTGAAGATACACAGTCCCCATTGGACCTCTTTTGGGTCTCCCTAAACCCTTAAGGTTATTTCCCCCCTTTTGGGGGGGCAGGGGGGGGTAATTCTGCAAACCTGCTCCTGCGAACCTAGCAGTTCGAAAGCACGTCAAAGTGCAAGTAGATAAATAGGTACCGCTCCGGCGGGAAGGTAAATGACGTTTCCGTGCGCTGCTCTGGTTCATCAGAAGCAGCTTAGTCATGCTGACCACGTGACCCAGAAGCTGTCTGCGGACAAACGCCGGCTCCCTTGGCCTATAGACTGAGATGAGCGCACAACCCCAGAGTCATCCGTTACTGGACCTAATGGTCAGGGATACCTTTACCTTTTTACTTCTGCAAACCTTATCTGCCCAGGTCTGCTCATACCCACCCTCCCTCTTATGTGTGGGTAATGCGTTTTTTATAGTTTTCATTAAATATTTTCTTGTGCTACAAAACAAACAAAGGGGGGAAAGTACAGCATTTGTCTCCACTTTCAATTCATAGAGTCTTTTTCACAGTTCGCTTACATGTAGTGAGAGAAACTTTTCTCATAGACAGCTTGCGGTTGGGGGAAAAGAGAGGAGAGATATATATCTATATGGGGGTTGTTGTTCTTTCATTCTGTTGCATGGGCTTTTTCTCAGCATCATGTGGATTTATCCTTTGTTTATATATATGTTTGGGGTGGGGTGTGGGATTAACTGGGTGATGCCATTTTAGCTACATAAACACTCATAGCCTGAACAACAGAAGGATTTATGCTAAGAATATATTTCAGTGGGATCCAAATGCACATTGCTGGCTACCACCCAAAGAGAGAGAGAGGTGTGCCTCTGTAGCTGTGGGTGCAAAGGTATCCAGGATTATTCACAGTATCTAGTTCTTTGTGGAACTCAGGACATAGGAAACTGCCTTTTACTCCAGCCCAGTACTGTCCACACAGATTGGCAGCAGCTCTCTCCCGGGTTTCAGGCAGGGTTCTCCCCCAGCCCTAGCTGAAAATGTTGAGGATTGAAACTAGCACCTTCTGTGTACAAAGTCTACCACCAAGCCACAGCCTTTCCACCAAAAAAAAATCATACTATAGCGGGGTTACTGTATTATTATTTTTAGAGGACAGAAGGCAAACAGAATGTTAAACTCGGTCTGCAGGGAGCTGCGCTCTTATGGCAGCTCCATAATGGGTGAGCTTGGGGACTGTTCTATCTCAGCCTCAATTCCCCATCTGTAAGAATGGGTTCTAATTTCACATGGTCGTTGAAAGTGTAAGGAGCAGTGGGGTAGAATGCAGAATACATCCATCTCAATAGGAATACATATTTGTTTGGAAGTCCTGCTGAGGTCAAAGTGACTTCTCCAAGGAAGTGTACGTTGGGGCCACTTCTCTTGCATACTACAAGTGCCATAAAAATGGTTAATAATCACAGTGATCTATGAATCCACTCAGAGTTGCTCAAGCAGACACGGTCAACAACAGAAGGTTATCTCTCTGCTACCCCCAATCAGAATCCATTGGCTGAATCTTATTTGGGATCCATCTGTCAGACCCCAGATAAAGGGGGGGGGGGTCTTCTGCTTTAAATTATTATCTGAAGCGATCATTTCAGATTGATTCGGGAGCTGCTAATTTATGTGCTGCTGTTACAGATGCTGAGATAATAACTTTCCTAAATGGAAAGCATGTGTTTATCGAGACAGAATACTTCCTGCATGGAGACATGATCATAACGGGACTTACCGGGATGTGCCATGGAAGCTGTGCGGTTACCACGCGAAGGGGAGTTGTAGATTACAACAGCTTCTGCACCCTGCGCAGCTGCACGGTTGATCTTCTCCGAAAAAGTGCAGTTGCCTCTTGCGATCAGGGCAACCCATGGCGATGTGGCGGCAGCAAACTCAGTGTTCCAAGTGCAGGCTTGGTGGTTGGTGGAATTGGCAATGACCACCAACCCCCTCGCATCTGCCACAGGAGAGTCCACCCCAAACTGACCGCATTCACACCTGTCACTCTCTGAGGTGTTGTTAAAGGCGTTGAAATAAAGCAAGCTCACATTGGCTTTGACCCCAAAAGCGTGTGCAGCTCCCAACAGGCCAGTGAGAACCAGGAAGCAGGCAGAGCTGATTTCCCCCACTTCCTTCATTGCTTGATCCTTAAAACATTTGTAGGTACTTTCCGTTGTTGTCAGTCTGCTGCTTCTCCGAGCGGTCTGAAATTTCAATCCGAGGCAGGTAAGCAACACCACTCCTTCCAGCTTCATTAGATCTTTCATTGCGTCATCTCCATTTCAGTGTACTGTACTTATCTCAGGGGAATAAGCTGCCTGGTGCTAGAGCCATAGTGCAGGAACCTGTGTCAGTAGCCTTCGCACACATGCACACACACCTATATTTCTGACGCTTTTCTCCTCTAGACTGAATCACATCCCTCCCCACCCCCCTTCATTGCCACAAAGGGGCTTGCTATAAAGTGGTTTGGGTTAAAGGTTCTACACGAGGCTTTTACATCCTGCCTATTCTTTACTCCAAATGAGACAGAAACGTCCGCTTTTCTTCAGGGAATTGCCAGCAAGTGACAAATCAGGTGGCTACAACTGAAAAAGACCACCAGGTTGAATTTGGGATGGAAGTCGTGGTAGCCGAAGATAAACCATTTGGAATAAACTACTGTATTTTTCGCTCCATAAGACACACTTTTTTTCCTCCTAAAAAGTAAGGGGAAATGTCTGTGCATCCTATGGAGCGAATGTGTGGTCCCTGGCAGTGGTGGAGCTGGGGACTTTGGTTACTGGAGTGGCGGGGGCATGGCACACCGCCCATGTGAGCATCCTAATGGCGGCATCCGCGCAAGGGGGTGGGGAGAGGTGAGGCAGGGGAAGAGGGCTTTAGAACACTCTTTAGAGTTCCCTCCGTCTGAAGGGCTGTGTGACTTGCATGAGAGCAGCCAGGAGCCAGCGCAGAGGGAGTTCTTTCTCCCTCGCACATTCTGTCAAATTGGGATGGGGAGCTTTTTTCTTGCTTTCCTCCTCTAAAAACTAGGTGCGTCTTATGGTCAGGTGTGTCTCATGGAGCAAAAAAATACGGTATATAGCCTTATGGTCTTGCAAGCACGAAACAAGGTGAATGCACCTTATGTAGTACGGTGGTACCTCGGGTTAAGTACTTAATTCGTTCTGGAGGTCCGTACTTAACTTGAAACTGTTCTTAACCTGAAGCACCACTTTAGCTAATAGGGCCTCCAGCTGCCGCCGCACCGCCACTGCACAATTTCTGTTCTCATCTTGAAGCAAAGTTCTTAAACTGAAGCACTATTTCTGGGCTAGCGGAGTCTGTAACCTGAAGTGTATGTAACCTGAAGCGTATGTAACCCGACGTACCACTGTATTTAGGAAGGTTAACAAGACTTGGGTCCACCCTCCTGCCCCCCCGTGGTTCTGTTAGGTAACTCTAGACTCTGAATCTATATTTTTGGGGGGGGGGGTCAGGCATGTGTGTGTGCCTTAGATGCTAATGTGCATTACTTCTCTTATTTTGAAATGTGGGAAGATAGCCCTGCTTCAAAAATAATACTTTCTGCCATGCATTCCCTCCCCTAGCCCTTTAAATCCTCATTCCAACTGAAACAAGCCAAAGTGCACACAATTTGCATTTGCATTGTACCATGCTCCTGGTCCCCACCTCACCCCTTTATTTCCTCTATTAACCCTGATGTATGGGAATCCTTTGCAGATGATCTCAGCGGAGACAGTCAACCAGTGACCAGACAGCAGTGACCAGAGGAGAAATGACTGCTGGGAGGAGCACAGAGAGAAGGAACGCCATGGTGCATCTGCAGCGGCACAACCAGATGCCTTCACCTGCCCCAGCTGCAACAAAACATGTCTCTCCCACGTCGGTCTCTACAGCCACAGCAGGCGCTGTAACTCTCCATCAGTTTGACTTCACTCCCAAAGGCCCACTCCTCCATTGTCTTCCAAGACAGAAGGAAGCCAGTAACAACAAAACTGCTGCATTTAATGCTAAATTTTATTTTATTAAAGATAGAAGATACAGATAAGTGCAGAAAAGATGAATATCGAAAGTGTTATATATCATTTAATAATTTCAATTTGAGAAAATTCAATTTGAGAAAATTCAAAAATTTCAATTTGAGAAAAGAAACAATAAAGACTTTTTAAAAAATCTACCTTAACTATCTTATATTTCTATGAAAAGTGTAAACCTTAATACTAAAGGGGGGGGGAAACCAGTATTAAGAATTAATACATTGTATAATTAAACTAATTTGTGAACCCTCCCAGCTGTTTTCTTTAATTTTTTTTTTAATAATGATATTTATTAAAGTTTAACAATTACAAGAAAGAAATAAAAAGAACAACAATTAAAGAAATTACAATACTTCAAATATAAAGTAAAAAGTAAAAAAACAAACAAAAACAAGGTACAATAAAAAAAGTAGAGCAGCTCAATAAAAAAAGCAAAAGCAAAAGACATTTAAAGACAAAAACATTTTAAAAAGAAAAGAAAAAAAAGATCCGATATTTTCATATCTTTATCTTTCATTTACTTATTTCTCCACTTCCTCACACCTCCCTTTTTTGTATTCTAATTCAATTAACTGTTTCAGCAAATCCTTTCCCTCTTTCTCAAATTTTGTTCTATAATTCATCTTGACACAATTTACCCTTAAATTTTTCACTTAAAAAAAACAACCCTAAAGATTTAGGACTTATTTAAACTTATAACATTTCTACTAAAGCTGAATAATTTCATTCCAACATTTTCCTAAAGCTCATTAACTTTACAATGTTTCTTTAAATAAATTTTTATAACTTTCTTCCAATCTCCATCCACCATCTCTTCTTCCCGGTCTCGGGTGTTTTCTTTAAATTTAAATTAGTTTTCTCTCACTTACTGCAAACTACTAAAAAATCTTAATACAAGGAAAAACCCACCACCATATGTGCAGTTCTGAAGTAAATGTATTTGTACGTGTTATGTACTGAGTTGAATAGGATCCAAAATGCAGCAGTCTGATTGGTCCTAGAACAATAGGATTCAGAATGCAGCAGTATGATTGGTCCTAGAACAATGCAGCAGTATGATTGGTCGGCAGGAGCCACCCAATCCAGCTCCAGATAGAAGTGAATCCACAACCTGATTGGCCTACAGGAGAATTCCGGAATTAGCCAATCATGTGCAGCCCATTGTGTAAATAATGTATATAAACCAAATACTTTGAGGGGACTTTCATTCCCTCCTCATCACTATGAGCTGAATAAAGAGCATGAAATTCACTCTCGACTCTGAGTATATTTCAGTACGATATTGCACTTGTCAGTAAAATGCAATACAGATTTGCAAAACAAAGTGTAGCAACATGGAAAACTGTGCTCTCCCAAGGCCCAAAGTTGAACGTTCCACCTGTCTTGTTAAATTACTCTGTGGCCAGATACACTTTGTTAAGAAAGACTTCAACTTTGTCTTCTCCCAAAGAGCAGACATCCAGGATGCAGATCAGAGGTTTTCTCACCAGCCCACCACCTAGAATGCAAACACAAAGATATGGACGTTAGTACTAAAAAACAAATGCTTAACAGTTGCTTTGTTGTTACGTTCCCAGGAGTATCATCAATGTTACACCCAGAACAGGTAATAAAGCAGAGTGGGGAAGGCAGAGAATCAATCCCTCCTGCTTCCAACATGATGGCAAAGGAAAATACTCTACAGAAAACCAATTCCCTGTGCCTAAAGCAGGGAACAAAAACATCTGGATGAATCCTCCTCATCCAAATTACTCAACAGCAAGGACAAAGTCTTCAGAATTTCAGCTCATTTCAGTGTTTGGCCAATAAATAAATAAATAAATAAATAGGAAGAAAAGGGGGGAATTTCACTCTTGTTTGGAATTATTAACTCAGCATGAAGCAAAATAAATAAATAAGTAGCAACTGCTTCCATTTCAGAAGATTACTTTAACACTGGAGTTTAGGGTGTTATCTAACAGCCACCCAGCATATCTGTAGGCTTCTAGTTTCTGAAATAAAAATTCTAAGATTGACACAATAAAGAATGCTTCTGGTTCCTTCTTGTTTCACATATCTGGGAAGACAGCACGACACAAGGAAAGCTGGCACTAATAAACAGAAAAGCATAATTTGCAATCTTCTATTAGGTTGCGGGTCAAATATTCGAAACCATTTCCTTTGCAGACACAATTATGCAGGCAAACACATGCAAAGAAATATGCTCATTGAAGCATTCGTGCACTTTATTGCTTACTGTAATTATTTACAGTTGCCAATTAGCAAATGGTTGGAATTTAGAAGAGCCACCATTTAACACGGTTGCTATCTCTTCAGGGAAGAAGGTATGCATTTAGACATATACTGTTTAACACTGCAACAAGGCTAGGCAAACCGTACTAGATAACAAGCGATCCAGGAGGCAATTCTAAAATAAAGGTTTTGAATTAAGGTCTGTTACGTGGCAAACCTTCATTTACAACTACGCTTGCTTATTTGAGGGCATAAGCAAACCATCAATATCATCTAGAAGTTCTTACGAGAAAGTGCCTGGGCAATCTTCTTCTGACTTGAGGTCCCACGTGTGTTAGGCAAATCCACCGTAGCACATTCCATGCCCGCTGCTTGAAGTAAACCTGAATTTTCAGAGTAACACACAGGCAGGAGGGCAACATCTATAGCTGTGTCGCGATTCATTCCTGTACAAAAGATGGATATATTTTGTTACCATCAGCTAGCATAATGAACTATTTCGTTGTCTTAGTTGTGACTTAGTTCTGGCTCATGCCCCAACAGCTGATGACCCAACATACTGACTATGCACACAAAGTTTCATCGGTATGCTCTGCCATTTACATACTTTAATACCCTCACAATATCCTTCTGGGACCAAACAAAGTTCCCTGAATGATATACTACTGGTATCAAGCAAAGTGATAATCCCTCTCCCCCTTCCCCCTGCTTCAAGACTTGGAAATTGTGCTCTTGTTAATATAGGGCAAAACAGCATTGCCCTTCCACCCCACCCCACCCCACTCGTATTCCAAACTCTTTAAACACACACACACCTTAATACTCAATTTAAGCTCAACACCTGTATTGAAAATGCTGCCATCTAGTCAGATATTCTACCTTCTTGTTCTTCCACATTTGGGCCCTCTTGCAAGCATATAAATGAATGTGTCCTTGTTCAGTTTCCTCCCCACATCTTTGCACCGTTCTGCATTTGCTATGATTTTGAAATTGCAATCTATCTAAAATCATTCCACTAAAATGCAGGGCTGGTTTCTTTGGAAATGCAGAGGACATTATTTATGTATTCAAGAAGCAAGTGATGCAAGTTTGAGAAAGGCATACTATGGCTGCTGTCCAAAGAGTTGTTTTTTGGGGGGGCGGGGGGGAAATCTCCTGAGTTTCAGCAATTACTTACCATATACAGTATGAGAGGCCTGCTATTTGAAGAACACAAATCCACCCCCCCTCGAATGTGTAGAAGTAAAAGCAGGTTCTTTGGATCCTAGACTATTCACCTTACAGTTGCTCTATTTATTCTTCATTAACTATGTTTTTATATCCCATCTTTTCTCCCTGCTCTGTCCATTTTACCCCCCAAGCAAACCTGTGGAGTATGTCACACTGTGAGATAAACATCAGTCCAAAACCGCCAAGTTGCCTTTGAACCCAGATACCCGCAAACTCTGACCTCTTGCTCTCTCTAACAAAAAACCAACCACACCGTTCGATACATTATCCATTCCCTCTTAGCTCTGTGCAACAACCGTTATTCTTTCAACACCCAGACAAAACTGTTAACATTTCCCCAGTGGCATAGCAAGGTCAGGTGGTACCCGGTACGGAAAATTTCTTGTCACCCCCTCCCCCCACATTGAATTATATTTTTTTTGCCTGCAAAAATGGTTTGACTTTATTTCAGATTTTTTGGGGAAGCCCCTGCACTTCCCAATGGGATGCTGAATTTTGTTTTGCAGAGATGGTGGTTACTTACCGACAATAGTCACTTGATAGTATTCATAAGGACAGGCATACTCAGTTTGATCTTCTTTATTTGGCACATATCTGTATTTGGCTGTTTGGAGATTGTACAGTTGCATGAGAAAATCTCCAGTTTCATAATTAAATTTTGATGGAAAGCTTTCAGGGAAAACTCTGCTGTAATGCAAGTGCTGCTCCAAGCGGTCTTTTATTTTATCCCAGAGGCTGCTTTCCCAGGAACCTGGTGAACGTTTTGCAGACCCACCGTGCTTCTTTTTGGAAGTTCCTAATATGAAGATAGTAAGTGTGTTGTTAATCTCCATTTACTTCTATAATATTATTCTACATTTTCAATAAACCAGAAAAAACCCTCCCCAAATTGTGTGCATGTGGAATTAGCAGCACAGTAGATATAGGCTTTTATTATATATTTTCAAAAGAAAATAAATACAAAGTAGCATTAGCTAGTGTTTCCTGCACTTTTCAAATTGTAAACTATCAGAAAATCCAAGTTCAGCAAAATGATTACTATTCCAGAATGGATTTTTTGTTTATTTCACTCAGTTTATTTCACTCTCTTCCATGCACTGCATTTGCTGAGTTTACATGTATAATAAATGGGAACCCTATTTCATTTAATTAATTTTTTTAATGTAGGCTTCTTCATTTTGTTTTTTCTTTAAAATAAGTAAAATCATACCTCGGGTTACAGTCACTTCAGGTTGCGGTTGTTTTGGGTTATGAACCCACCAAAACCCGGAAGTACCAGAACGGGTTACTTCTGGGTTTTGGTGGTCGCGCATGCGCAGAAGCGCTAAATCAGCTGCTTTGTACTCTAGAATTAAAATCTAGGGTTCCATAATGGGGCAGCTGCAGTGGCCAGCAGGAAATGTAGAAGATCCAAGCTAGATAATTCACGTATGCAATTTAGCTACGGTAACTGAAATCAGCTTGCTATTCACAATAACAGGGTAAGACCTTGTAACATAAGAACTTGTAGCATATGGGCCCTCCGGAAGGAAGATTCACTGAAATTAAAATGAAAGGTTTGGTTGAAGCAGCAAGGTTATCTCTCCTCCATCATCTCCGTTTGGCATTAGGGAACTAAGCCAGGATTAAAAAACAACACTTTAGCTAGAATTTTACTAACTAAACAACATATAATGTTACTGTAAAAGATTAGGAAGGCATATTAAGTTTGCTAAGGCTTCCGGTGCTGCTTATTTTAATATAAAAGGCTGGCACTCAGATAGGTTTCAAGGAATAAGACACATACTTCTCTTGCGCTTCTTTCGCGCTGGAGCCGATGCATCCTGCTCATCTTCATCCGACCTATAAAAACCAGGAGTAGAGTTGCCACTTAGGTCTTATGATCAGGGCCAAAGCAGACATGACACCACCTCCTTTTTCTTAACTTCGAAGCAGCCGTGATAGCATGTTTGTGCTACTACATTGATAGAGCAACTGGCATTAGGCATAAAGGGTAAAGGTACCGCTGACCGTTAGGTCTAGTCGTGGACGACTCTGGGGTTGCGGCGCTCATCTCGCTCTATAGGCTGAGGGAGCCGGCATTTGTCCGCAGACAGCTTCTGGGTCATGTGGCCAGCATGACTAAGCTGCTTCTGGCGAACCAGAGCAGCGCACGGAAACACCGTTTACCTTCCTGCCGGAGCGGTACCTATTTATCTACTTGCACTTTGACGTGCTTTCGAACTGCTAGGTAGGCAGGAGCAGGGACCAAGTAACGAGAAAAATCCAATGAAATCAAGAAGTTACTGAGAATCTGCCACTTGTGCTATTTTCTTGCTTGCTGCACTAGTGAAGTATGAATAATCAGTCAGGCAGCTTTGGTTTTCTATTGATAAGTTAAGTAGCATCGTGTTGCACACAAGGGCACTTTCTGGAGCCACAGTCCTATCTAGAAGCTATATTGGATTCTGCACATATTCACATGCACCCACAAAACATTCAAAAGTTAACTCATTGTTAAGAGCCATCTAAAAAGAGGTGAAATAAATTATTTCGAAACAATCAATCAATCAATCAATCAATCATTTAAATGGTCTATTTGGTATTACAATCCTGATGCTTTGAACCTATTCCTGCCCAGATCTAACTACCTCATTTAGCAAGGTCTTTCCCAAATATCTATCCACATCTAACCGGTGGGAACATGGTGCATCTGCCATGGTGCATTTGCAACAGAACAACCAGACGCCATCCTCTGTCCCAGCTGCAACAACTCCACAGCCAAAGCAATCACTGTAACTCTCCAGTGGTTTGATTTCACCCCCAAAGGAAAACACACCTCCAGTGTCTCCCAAGACAGAGGGAGGCCAGCCATGGTATTGCAATGCAAAAGTGATTTTCTTTGCAAATTATAACCTAAGGCATTTTAGAACATTGATGCAGCTCATTTGAAAAGTACACAATTCCCATGCTATGTGTGCCTAATCTTGCTCAGAGGGAAGTCAACAAAACCAGGATTGTGGCCTAACGTAGACAAATGCCAACAAAAACAGAAAGGGAATTCCATTGTAGAGAAATAGCTTACTCCACAATCCTATTCTTTCTCTTCGCTTTACACTTTCTGGGTCTTGTAGGTTGCTGTTCGGGTGGCTGGGAGGTTTGTGCAGAAGTGCCTGCTGCAGGTTCCTGGCTGACCTGTAGGAAATGAACAACAGGAGATATTTTGCCTTATTATTCAAAAACAAAGAATTCAGCAACTTCTAGGTAGCCATTCTTCACACATACATGAAAATATATATGAAGTTGTTGCATACATAAATAACCTTTTCTGACACCTAGGGATTTCAGTCCGAGTCATCCCCAACAGAAAGGAAAGTTATTTTGAACATGTTTTTTCAGTTCATTATAAATCATTTCCCAGAACCCTTTTACATTTTTAAAATGTCCACCAAATATGAAAGAAAGTTCTCTCCACCTCTTTACACTTCCAGCACTTATCTGATTCTGTCTTGTACATCTTAGCAAGCCTACTTGGAGTTAGAGACCAACTATGAATCATTTTCAAATAGTTCTCTTTCAAAGAGTAACATGCTGTAAATTTCAAGTCACTTTCCCAAAGTTTCTCCCAGAGGTTAGAAATCTATGTTGTGCCCTCTATCTACTGCCCAGTGTGTCACTGAGGCTTTAACTAGCTCGTCTTTTGTTTCGCAGTCTAATAACAAGTCATTTTAGACTATTTTGTCTATCTAATTTAAACATATCATGTAACTGATGATATTGCAAACAGTCCGTAACTTGGCTCCTTAGGTTTTCCATTGATTTCAATTTGGGTTCCCCCCTGTGAAATGCAGCAATTCCCTGTAGGTCGCCCATTGTCCATCCATATTAACTCTCTTAATAGTACAGTGGTACCTCAGGTTAAGTACTTAATTCGTTCTGGAGGTCCGTACTTAACCTGAAACTGTTCTTAACCTGAAGCACCACTTTAGCTAATGGGGCCTCCTGCTGCCGCCTCACTGCTGCCGCATGATTTCTGTTCTCATCCTGAAGCAAAGTTCTTAACCTGAAGCACTATTTCTGGGTTAGTGGAGTCTGTAACGCTAAGCGTCTGTAACCTGAAGTGTCTATAACCCAAGGTACCACTATATTTTAAACCCTAATCTAGATTCAACTCCAGTATCAGAACCATAGGGATTAGTTTATAGGATATCTACAGTCTTTCAAATATGATCTACTAAATAAATTGTTCTGCCTAACCCCATTTAGTTTCTCGATTCATTTCCACCTTTTTTTCCCACATGTAGAAAGTTTTAAATATCAGTTTGAATACTCTTTTTCTTAAAAAATGGAACATCCACATTAAACTTTTAAAAACCTAAACTAAGCCTTTCAAACTCTATTTCTTCTTTAAAAATGAAAAAAAAATGTAAAACATAGTATCCAAATACTTATACTGTTAATTCTCAAGCACCATACCTGTTCTGGTGCCTCAACTGGAGCCTGAACTGGAGCCTGAACTGGTGCCTGAACTGGTGCCTGAACTGGAGCCTGAACTGGAGCCTGAACTGGAGCCTGAACTGGTGCCTGAACTGGCGCCTGAACTGAGGCATCAGGAGGTACGATGGTGCAGTCAACATATTTTACAGCACCAATTATCCCCCGAATAGCAATGCGTTTGTGCTCCCTGTAGTGCAGTTTTCCAATCTCCTCCCGAATTTCATTGATGGTTTTCAACACTGGATCAACTGCAAAATAAATAATAATAATAATAATAATCCCCCGAAACTTAGCTTTGAACAGAAATGCATCCAATCCACCACAGAGTGAACCACTATAACTAAAATGTATTAACTGGAAGTTGATTTGAATAATTGTATTAATTGGGAAATAATTGAAATTGTTATAATTTGGCTAAAAATAAACATTGTTTTAAAGAAACAATACTACCAAAATTATGAATGTAGGATTCGAAAGATTCAAATGGAAAAGCACTTAATGTTAAATTATTGCTTTTAAATTGGTACAGATAAACCTCTGATTTATTTCCTGTTTGTAATCTAAGGGTGGCCAGTAATGAAAATCAAAGTCCCCACTGCTCACCCGCTATTTCAGCACTGCAAGTCCTCCTTGGTACATGTGATATGTGGGGGCCCTTGAGGTCAGAAGTGTGTGTTCATCTTAATCTTGTACTGGAATAATTTCATTTTACTGACTCACATATATATTATTGAATTCTACCCCACATTGTTGGGACCTTCAGGTGCACACATATATATGTAAAGAGCTGGGGAAACTATATGGAAATCTTTGTCTAAAAACCCTGCTAACTGACTTGCTCTGATAGTTTAATATTTTTCTTCTTCGTCAATAAACTTCCCAAACAAATCCCCCATTCCTCCTCTACCTTTTGGTTTAGTGTATGACCGTTACCGGTATAGTTTGTTGTTTAGCATTGTGATCATTTACTAAAAAGTACAAATAAGTGAATAAAGCTGCACATAAATATTTCGTTTAATAACATTACTATTGCCAAGTGGCAAGCATGACTGAATGAAGATGCAGAACAAAACACAACACCTGCAGCAGTTTCACAGCACTTCAGAAAAGTGTCTGGGGCTGGTGGCAAAGGATAATATCCGCCAATGAAAGTTTCGTTTGCATGAGAAGATCCCTCCTGAGTTCTCCTCCAATGAGCAATGCTTCTTACTCTGACTTCATTTTCATATGGCTGGCCTCTGTGCCACTCTGTTAAGAAAAACAAACAAACAAAAAAAGGCTGTGAAAAGCCTAATAAAAATATCAAAATATTAAAGCAACAACTTTTTATAAGTGACTGTGCCAATAGAATTATAGAATCGCAGAACAGGAAGGGAACTCAACAGGTGGTGGCTCCGTGAAGAACATTATAGAATTAATAAATGGTATCGGGAATGTTGGTGATGAGGATTCTAGAGACCGTGTAGGGATACGAAAGAATTGCAGCAGTTTCTAAGCTGCCTAAGAGGCTCATTGCACGCAGACCAGTCTGTGGGATAGCTCAGTCAGTAGAGCATGAGACTCTTAAGGTTGTGGCTTCAAGCTCCACTTTAGGCAAAAGATTCCTGCATTGCAGGGGGTTGGACTGGATGACCCTCGTGGTCCCTTCCAACTCTACAGTTCTATGATTCTATGAAGTTATCGTAGTGTACCATTTCACCAGAGATTTAATATTCTTCTGCAACTTCTCTGTGACCCTGGCTTTATTTCCAACACCAGAGATGCAGTACTCTTGCTAGAATTCCACAGATTCCTCAACCTCAGCCCTCCAGATGTTTTTGGCCTACAACTCCCATGATCCCTAGCTACCAGGACCAGTGGTCAGGGATGATGGGAATTGTAGTCTCAAAACATCTGGAGGGCTGAGGCTGAGGAAGCCTTTAAAGCAAATAAAAGCAAATAAAATAAATTACAATCAAAAATGAAAAACAAAATGGCTGATGCCTAAAGGTAAAAGGGGAACAAAAAAATGTGGTTAAGATGTACATGAGCACTTGAAGGTGTATGTTACAAATTGCATGTATTAATTATGAAATTAGGGTTTATTTACCGCAAATAAACATTTGACTTTCATTAGTAGTTCTCAGGTAAGATGGAAAGGAGCCGTTCCCTGAAATCTCTCGGATCACCTTCAGGTGTGTACATACGAAAAGTGACCCTGGAGATGGAGAAAGAATGCATATTTTTTTTCCATAAATGTTATTTCATTTCATTTATTTATTTCACACATACTATTCAGTATTTATGTATGTTCAGAACTATCAGGTTTTAAAGCAAAAGATACAAATGGCAGCATTTTTATTGTTATTTATTATTATATTATTATTATTGCACTTCCTACAATTCCTAGCTCAACCAAACTAAAACTTTTGTTCTACCAAGCAGTTAAAACTATGTGACTTGGTTGTCGTTCTCACAAACAGCAGATGAGGAGAAAAACCAGTTACTGGTTTGCATCACTTTAGATGGCATGCATGCCTCCTTTGTGTTGAAAATAGTTCTCTGTATAGAAAAATCAAATGTCAGAGGTGTTCTAGTCTAAGCATCTTGTGAATGCAAGAGTGTTTTTGTGTAGCAATAGTATCTACAGAGATAGTATTCCAGCACATGAGCCCTCACCTGCAGTTTCAAATAGTACTCACCAGATCCTAGTTTATTACATTTTCTGCTTGGAGAGAACTAGGTAGCTGAGGTGGAAGATTACAGATTAATTGTGGGCTTTGCAGAAGCATTTATCTGTCCTCTGTAGGGAGCCATATCCAGTACTCAGCCTACTCAGAGCAGGCAGTGAAATGAAGGAACATGACTGACTTAGGTCCATTAATTTCAATGGATCTACTCTGAATAGAATTGAATTGGCCCAGGATGTTGTTGGACTACATGGACCCTTGGTCTGTTCCAATATTGCTCCGGCCCAAGCCTACACATCATCTCCGACTTTTAACTTGCTATTTATTTTTTAAAAGGTCAAAAGTCTTGCTAAATTCCCAAATCCTGCTACACACCTAAACATAACTCTTTGGATTATGATTTAAGGCCATGAATTTTACACCAAAGGTTTAAGCCACTCATAGATAAATGCTAGAGAGTACTTCATATATACCGTATTTTTCGCGCCATAAGACACACCGACCATAAGACGCACCTAGTTTTAGAGGAGAACAAGAAAAAAAAATATTCTCTCCCTCTCTGCTCAGCACCTCTCCAGCAAAGAGGGAGGAGAAACGGAAGGGGCTCTGTTTCTCCTCCCGCTTCGCTGAAGGGGCGCTGCGCAGCTCTCCCTCTCTGCGCATTGCCTCTCCAGCAAAAGCAACACAAAGCTCCCGCTGCGCTCAGGAGGCTTTGCGTGGCTATCACTGAAGCCAGGAGAGCAAGAGGGATCGGTGCGCACCGATCCCTCTTGCTCTCCTGGCTTCAGCGATAGCTACGCAGCCTGCATTCGTTCCATAAGACGCACACACATTTCCCCTTACTTTTTAGGAGGGAAAAAGTGTGTCTTATAGAGAGAAAAATATGGTAGTTCTCCCTTCAGAAACAAGGGAGAAAATATATATAAACCTGCTTGAGCACCATCACACGCAAAGATGCGCAAGTTTCAGTTCCTCATTTCTACTATTCTGTCAGGGGCTTTAGAAGGAGCTGCAATGGTATTGTCTGCCAATACCCAAAATTAAAGCAAACTTTTAAGAAAAAAGGTATTACAAGATTTGGGGTGGGAGAAATGCAGAGATATTTTTTAAAAAAACAAATACTTGGGTGAATTTGCTGAAATATTTCAGGCTGAGATGAAGAAAACAATTGCAGGATGAGATTCTTATCTGAGGTTCCATCAGCAATCAGCACCCAACGATAGATCAAGAAGTCTTCTCCATGCTCTGTAAGGACAACAGAAATGTTGAACATTTTCAGAAAGTATTTTTGAATTAATTTTTCATTAGCACAAAAATATTTAAAAATAACCTGTTTTTCGTGTGCGCTGAGTCCTTCCCACAAATTTCACAACCCCAACTACATCACAGTGTTCAATGTATGGTGTGACAAGCAGCTTGGATCTGTAATACAGAAAAGTACAAGTGATATTTGTAGCACACAGTAATCTCTCCATATTTATGAACACAGTGCTCCATCCCTCCAGTTAACCTGAATCTGGACAGGTTGTTGAAGTTGTTGGACTGGTATCCGAAAACAATGGCTTCATGGGAGCCAATAAATTGAGCCTAAATAGTGATAAGACAGAAGTGCTGTTAGTAAGCAGTTCCCGTATCTAGGAATTAGGTGAACAACATGACTGCACTCCTTCTAGAGCAACAGGTTCATAGTCTGGAAGTGCTCCAGATTCCAATGGGTCACCAGAGTCCCAAGCATTAAGGAGTGATGATGACCAATATATGTAAGTTGCTTCATCAGCTATGACTTTTCCTGGACTGGCAAAGCCTGGCCTCAGTTGTCCATGCTTGAGTGACCTCCCACCTGGATTATTATAATCCCCATTAATTTATTTAAATCTTTATAACGCTGCTCATCCAAAGATCACAGGGTGGTTCACATCATAAAAATGCAAATTGGGAACACAAAATACATCATAATAAAACAAAAATAAACCAATAACCACTGCTTCCACAAAAACATTGAATGCCAAAGGCCTGATGAAGAGAGATGCTTTCTCCTGGTGCCTAAATAATATGTAATGAAGGTGCCAGGTGAGCCTTCCTGGGGAGAGCATCCCACAAAAAGGGAGCCACCACAGAAAAGACCCATTCTCATGTTGCCACCCTCCGGACCATTCGTGGAAGAGGCACACAAACATGATTAGTTTTATCTTTCCTGAAAGGCATGAGGGCTTTGGTCTAGTCTTGAGAGTTCTTGTGCCTCCAGCTCAGGGGTCTGTCCTTTAAGACATCCTGGAAGCTGCAGCTGGTGCAGAGTGCATCACCCAGATTGCTGGAGCCTGACAAGGCCAAGTGTAAGTAGTCCTGCGGGTGATGCGCTAGCTAACAGTGAGCTACTGTGCCCAACTCACAGGGTCAGTACTAGCATGCAATGCCCTAACCAGCTTGGGATCAAAGTACCTGGAAAAATGCCACCCCTGTTGCCAATGGGTTACACATGGTTGATACTGTCCCATGACGGGGCCTCCTTGGTGACAGCTCCCCATTTATTAAATGCCTTCCCTGTTTGAGTCTCCTTCATTAATGGCATTCAATTTTATTTTTTATTTTTTAAAAATCCTATTAAACAAGGCATTTGATGTATGCAAGATACTGTTCATGAGAAGCCTGAAGTGAATAGCCATAAGGATCAAGTTGAACTTTTAAAATGCTATTAAAACTTTTAAATGTTTTTATTTACCACCCCCATGTACAAGACGACCCCTATTTTTTTGAACCCTGAATTAAGAAATAAATATTTCTTGAGCTGTTGAGCTGCCAATCCCTCACTCGCCCACCTGCTCGCCACATCCAATCACCCCCACTGCATTCACTACCCGTGTATTAGATGACCCTCCCATTTTTGCCTACAAAATTTTAGCAAAAAAAAAAAGGTCTTATACACAGGAAAATACGGCATTTCACTTTCAATTGTATCGCTCTTCTGCCTCGTTTGCTGCTACTTTGGTAGCAAAAGCAGGATAGAAATGCAATGATAAATAGATAATGCTTAATGACAAAGCTTTTTTTCCTCTGTTACTTTTCCCCTCCCTCCTCCTTCCCACTTTTGTTACATTATTGATTCCTGCCTTGTATATTGTCTCCAAAAAAGAGAACATAAAAAGCCTAACCTTGTGACAAACTGATACTGAATGTTGGGCAATCTCCACTGCACTTTAACGTTGTCTTTTGGAATGATGGTAATTATTGGTCTTCGCCCAGCGTTTAGTGTTAGTTCTAGAAGAAAAAGAAATTAACCGTGAGAACACACATTGAACAACTGAGATCCTGGCTGCCTAAGTAGTTCTGCTACTCCTGTATGCATAACAAACACTGTTATCCCCCAGACTCAATTCTTTGGGTAGCACAAGCGATTTAAAATCAGATGTGCCACTACGCTTGGAGCTTTTCTGGACAATCTTCTCACTGACAAACTATTTAACAACTGCCTCCCTCGGTTTTGCCTTCCAAGATCAACCATAAATAAATAATGTGAGTGGTTATATCAAGGGGAAGAAGCCTGAATCCTTAACAGCAGAAATTCAAAATACAGGCTGAATAGCATTTGAAGATTGAAGACGGAGAAATGTTAGACTGGAATTTCTTCAAAAGAGCTTCAATGTTAAAAATGGTTTTCTCCCTCCCTTCAATGGAGTAACAGAACATTTAAGAATCTAGCTAACACCCAAGAATGGGTGTACTGTAAATGTTTATGGAGTTCTCTAGATTAAGAGGAGGGACCAAGTATTTTGTTTTATGTAGCTCGTGGGACTTAACAACGGGTATTTGAGAAGCCAGTGTCAGGGCTACCGACCTAGTGTCTTTTACAAAATGGGGGTCTTCCCATCATGAGCTGCAAAGCCCTAATATCTATTTCTGAATCAATACAGATATCTGAAATATCAGCTGAAATAGTTATGCATAAACTTCACTCAGTCTTAGCAACAAGGTACCAAGGCAGAAGCAAGGTTTCGCTTTCAGTATTACTCTTTAAACAAGTGAGCAAAGCAGTGCTTCCCAAGTTACACAAAGAGAGTTGTGTATGATCTCACAACAGGAGAGGGACATCTGTGGCCCTCCAGATTCGTTGATCTGTTGTTTATCTGGTGTTATAAAATAATGACATTTTAAAGTGAACTTTGAAACAAAATTACATGCTAATTACAAAATTACATTCCAAAAAGAACTATGAATCTGGGAGATTATTTCATGAGCTTTCTATAAATGCTGTGGAAAGCTCAACTCTTCTGTCAGAAATTTTCATTATTTAATTTACATTGTTCCTTGTTAATTTCATTTTGGCTGTTCTCCCTCTCCCCTATATTATTTGTTATCTCTTCATGATTACACAGATTTATTTAAGATGTGTAAAAAGAAGAAACTTTGTTTCATCAGTCCACTGAGAATATGTTTGTAAAAATTAATAATAAATGTCTTAAATTGACAAATTGTGACTTGCACTTCTCTTTCCTCCTAGCCTGAAGAAACATCTCACTTTCTCCCCAATGCATTATATATACATATGTAAAGCAAAATAATTTGAAGCTAATTATACTGGTTACAGAAGGCATGATGCGGGTATCAAAGACTTTTGTGGATTTAAGGAACAACAACTGAAAGTTACTATTACACAGCAGATGAAAAGTGTGGTTGACTTGGGACAATAAGGAATTTCATCTTTTAACACTTTTGGGGGGGAAACACCAAAATGATTAAAAAACCCACATTTTTTACACCTTAGTTCTGCAGCCAAGGCAGTAAAATTTTACTTTCTGTTCTAGGGGCAGTTGATTTTTTAAAAAATGATAGTGCTATTTTCCCCTCAAAGTGGTCAATGTATCCCCTTCATGAACTAGGTATAGAATTCAATGTGCCTTAATACAGTTATAATCAATGAAGAGCCATATGCTTTCAAATGGTCAGTGAAACTAAACATACGTTGCCACCTACTGCAAAAAAACAACAACACATTGTTGAACAACAATTAATATTCAAAATACTTAACCTATTGAGAACAATTTCTTCACGCCAATGGATCCAAGAGTTTGCTGTGTTTTAAAAAGGCAGCTTCTTTTAACACCATAGTTTTCGAGAAGCAACACAGTGCCAACGGTCATACTGTTGTACCATTCAAAACACAAGTCGTTCCACAGCACCATGGTCATAGAACCGGAACGATCAGCCACAATGAAATATGCCTAAAAGAGATTAAGGATATGAGCCACAAGATCTCAGCAACACTGTGGAAGAGTGAAAAGTATTGTTGAACTGCTCTTTCAAAATGCCTGTGGCTAATCTGTACTTTTCTGATGGCATGCTCCTCCTCAGTTTATCAGCTGTGCATAAGGTACTGCATAGGAACAGAAGCAATGCTTCCCGCATTCAGAAGGCTTAAAGTCTAAGGTGGCAACCCTATGGACATCTGCGCGGTAGCAAACCCCATTCAGTGGGACTTGTATGTGGGCCCAAGTTCTGTGCAGTAGTGTGGAAGCGGTCAAAATAATGGCATACACAAAGTGGAGTTGGATTAAATTAGGCTGCAACTTTATTGCACCAGGTTTGGCACATGGTCAGCCAGCTTGCTGGCTGGCTCAACAAGCTGTCATTGGACAGCTTGGGCAAACCATTATTGAGGTCCACCATGGTGTGAACTGTTTCTGGAAGATCTCATCTAGTCCCTGGCAGGGGACATCATGGCCTATCAGCCCTCGACTAGGCTTCTGAACAGAAAGCACCACACTCCAATATCCCTTATGGGGGTCCTCCACTGGGCTGAGGCAAGGTGCCCCTCTCTACTAAGGATCCAGCCCAATGCCTCATCCACCATGTGAAAGTTGTGACAGTTGCTATGAGGTAGGAGAAAGCCCATAGGACCCAGCCAATAAATGTGCAGGTGAAATTCCTCCTTGGGGCCTGCATCCAGCAACTGACCTCCATCTATAGCAATGCACTTACACCAAAAAAATTCAAACAGTGTGAGAACAACACAAATGGTGAGAATGCATATTATATGCTTGGGTGAAAAATTCAGGCAAAGACTATAGAGGGGAGGTTGGGAAAGCCTGCCTTAGATGCTCCTAAAGTATCTCTTACAACTCTACAGTTATATGAAGTAAACGGATTTGGAAGTACCGTATTTTTCGCACCATAGGACGCACCGGACAATAGGACGCACTTTGTTTTAGAGGGGGGAGAATAAGAAAAAAAAAATTTCCCCCTCTCTGCCCAGCGCCCCTTCAGTGAAGCAGCAGGAGGTGCTGCACAGAGAGGGGGAGAACTTTCCCTCTCTTGTTTTCCCGCTCTAAAACAAGGTGCCGTTTAAGGTGTGTTCAGGCGGCTACCTTGGAAGCCTGGAGAGCGAGAGGGTCGGTGTGCACTGACCCCTCTTGCTCTCCAGGCTTCAGGTTCTTCGACCTGCTCTTTGGGGCTGGCGGGGAAGCCCACCACCAGCCCCAAAGAGCAGGTCAGGGAGCAGCGGAAAGGCGCAGCGGAGAGGCTCCTGCCATAGCCGCGCGTCACCTCTCCAGCCGGGAGAGGGTCGCGGGGGGCTGCTTTAGCCCCGCGCGCACGCTCTCCCGGCTGGAGAGGTGACATGGGGCTGTAGAGGTTCCTGCCATAGCCGCGTGTCACCTCTCCAGCCGGGAGAGGGTCGCGGGGCTATGGCATCTTCGCTCCATAGGACGCACACACATTTCCCCTTCATTTTTGAAGGGGAAAAAGTGCGTCCTATAGAGCGAAAAATACGGTATTCACTTCCAGCCATCTCTGGAGTCTCTCTCCTCCCTCCCACTCCCCCCCCCCAGGAGGCCAGCAATAATTCATTCCCAGCTCTCCAGGTAGACCCTGCCCACTTTCCAGCCTGGGTCTGCGTCATGCCAAAGGAGCCAGAAGCAGCCCCACCCACCTGTACCGAGCTGCAGAGACCTCTCTGAGTAAGCTGAGAATGGCACATTCTGAACAAATGAACAACAGAGCTGGGAGGCAGCACTGCAAATCTAAACATGGAAGTTACACAGAAACTACTTTTTTGTTATACTTTTGAGTCAGTATAACAGAATCAGAGAATTGTTATACTGACTTCTACAAAAATAACAAACCCAAACCTGCACAAGAAATGCAAGACAAACTAGGGGACACCCAAATACCCTAGCTAACACACCACCAACTGCACGCCTTCCTAAACAACCCAGCAGAAACGGCGGCGGCGATTAGGCCTTTGACCACTTCCGAAAACCTTCTCCTGACAGCAGAGGGACATGGCAAGGGCATGGTACCCACAATATATAAAATACTGCTCCATAACCCTACAACACCCCCCCATCTCAATTAAAAAAAAACAATGGGAGCATGACATAGGTTACAAAATAAACCTACCCAATGGACTAAACTGTGGTCTAAACCACCTTTTAAATTCATCTCAGCAAAAAGAAGGGAACTCACATTGAAACTTATCTATAGATAAATCTCTTTAACTGCCAACAAAAACCAATAAATGAATAGAAATAGAACCTACCCAAATAATGACACAAAAACCTTATACATACACTATGTAGAAGAATGAAAGTTTACTACCCCCTCTTCTTCCCTCCCTCCCCCCCCCCCCAATTTATACTGTCTATATAACATCAGTGTCTCACATTGAATATGAACAAACTGTGTGAAAGAACTCTTTGAACTGAAAGCAGAGACGCTGTATGTACTTCTGTAACCCAAGAAAATATTTAATAAAAACATTTTTTTAAAAACCACCATAGAATTGTAGAGTGGGAAGAGAACCAAAGGGTCACCTATTCCAATGCAGGAATGGCATATAAACTAAGGCTAACAAGTGAAAATAAAGTTGTAGCAAAGAAAGTGATGTGTAAAACTCGTAGCAGAAAGCTTAACATATGGCTTGGTAATAATAATAAAAAATAAAAAAATTAAAAATTAAAAATTAAAAATTAAAAATTAAAAATTAAAAATTAAAAATTAAAAACTAAAAACTAAAAACTAAAAATAAAAAATAAAAAATTAAAAGTTAAAAATAAAAAATAAAAAATAAAAAATAAACAATTAAAAATTAAAAATAAAAAGAAATAAAAATTTTTAAAAAAATAAAAAATAAAAAACCTTGCTGTTTAGCAATCGGAAGGTGAAAAGAAAGGCAACACAACAGGAAGTGAGGTTTTCTTCCAGCCACTAGAAACAGCAAGGAGGGGGCAATGAAAAAGGGCTTGTGAAAGATGAGTTTGTGTGCTATAGACAAGAGTAATGTAAAATCACAGAATCATAGAACTGAGGAGTTGGAAGAGATCACAAGGGTCATCTAGTCCAACCCCCTGTAATGCAGGAATCTTTTGTCCTTGGGAAAAACCATCATTAAAAGGGGTTAAAAATAAATAACGTAAGTGATTCATGGGGAGCCATGTAGGGCAGTGTGTTCTGCAGTCTGCATGCTGTTTCAACCGAATTAAGAACACTTTAAAAAATTTCCATTAGCAGTGGCATCATGATTCAGCATTATGAAATTTTGAAAAGCCTTTGGAAGCCATTTTTGTGTGCTCAGGGTATTGAAGAAAGTCTAATCAGAGTAAGGCTCCACAAAAATCAAGCCGTTATTTAACAGGTAAATTGTAAATTAGTACAATATGTATTAGCACAGTGGTATATTCATCAATAGAACTGTTTCCATTTCTACCTATATCAAAGCAACAAGATACTCTCAAGATACAGTCAATGAAATAAACAAGGAGATACATTTAACTCAGTTCATTTTGACTTTAAAAAACCAAAAACAAAGCCTGAACTCTAAATAACTGCCATAACAAAATATAATTATATTACCATTTACAATTGTATTTCATTATGGCTGTTATTTAGAGGAAGGATTCAGAAATAAGAATTAAGGTTTTTATCAGCATAGCAGATTTAAATGGACGCACAACAAGACGTAAGCATGTTAAGATCTGTAGACAGCCTACCTGGTACGGTTTATCAACAGCCAGACTAGGCTTTCCGTAGTACTGAAGTCTCCCCCTGTGGGTTATTCTAATGATAATAGGATGGGTGCCAGTTTTAATCTTATTGCCTGTTTTGTGGCCAAAGTCTCTCTGCAAATCTCGCAGAGTTTTAACTGCAGAGTCTAGGAAAGCAAAAAGAGATTCAAAAGTGTATAGGTGACATAGTTGGTTTCATCAGCACTGCCACTACTACAAAACATACTGCGGCAAAGGGATAAGTTACAAATAACCAAGCACTGCTGATCTTAAAAACTGGTCCTGCCAAGTTGGCTTTTCCTAAAGGTTGCTCCGGTGCTGCCTCAGAAGAAAACAGCCCAAGAATTCCAAAGTGTCATAAATAAAACGAATGAAGTGCACAAGGTGAACACAAATGCACAAGTACATAAACTGCACGTCTAAAATGGTGCAGGAGAGCATCTTGACTCTTAATGACCCTAACACCCAGAATATGCGTATTCCGTACCTATTCAAAGCCTAGAACCGAAAAGCTGTACTGTAAGCCGCCCGGAGTGGCTGGGGAAACCCAGCCAGATCGTTAGGGTATAAATAATAAAATTATAATAAAATTATTAAAAGCACACTCTATCAAGTTTGGGTCCCGGTGCAGTGACACACAACACAAAAACATACCTAAATAGCCACCATGTTGGACCAAAATATACCTGAATAAGACAATACACGACACCAAACATATTCCCTCAAATTCAGCTTGTGGGCTTCTCCTGCAAACCAGGCTCTCAACCCAGAATCTGGCTGTTCACATTAAGCCAGACTATAGATTGTCAGTGCTTAAGTCTAAGAGACAAATTTATTGAACCCAGTAACAACAGCGGTATATCCCAGACTATCCTACCCATTAGTCCCATGCGTCCAACAACCCACTATTGATGACCCACCCTGCAGCAGTCAACTCACCATCCTCGAAGTCAGCTCCTGGACCCTTTTTTCCCCGCCATCTGTCCCCATACGGATCTTCATTATTCCACAGTGGAAGATAATACGTCCACCTCCCCAGCAGCGGCACGGGCGGCTTCCTTCTGCGTTCGGGAAGCTGTTGACCCCGGACAACATCACTTCTACTGGCCGCGCCAAGAATTTCGAGCTGTTCAATGCACATAATCCAGCTATCAAACTTCTGAACGAAAGCGCACGAAAGCTCTGTGATTTGCACCCGCAGGCCACAGCGAAGGGCATTTGTCTGCACCAAGCGGTTCAACTCGGGGGCCAGAAAGCATCTCTCCCGGTACACGCCGTCGGAAATAGTCATATCATAGAGGTATTGGAAGCCAGTACGCTTGGGTACCTTGATGAGGGACGAGGCACGAAGGCGCACGTGCCTGGCGAAAGGATCGGGCTGCTCGTTGGAAGGACCAGGAGTGCCAGCACGAGCGGCCACTTCTCCGTAGGAAGAGGCACGCGTGGATACATTGCTAGCAGAAATGTAGCTGACGCGTGTCTTCTGGGAGGCATCCTTCAGATACCTCTCCAGAGATAACACGGTCACCGGCGGAGCAGCTACGAAGGTGGTCACATGGTCGCGAACCACGGCAGCTCGGCAGTACGCCACGAGTATCCAGGAGAGCCGACCCGTCCCGTTTTCCATGTTCCTCCTCCGTTCGTGTGTTTCGGAAGAAGCGTCTTCAAGCCATAGCTCCAGCACATCTTCTTCTTCATCACTTGCAATGGCATTCCGCTCGTTCCTTTCGGGGCTGTATGTCCCCATGATCAGACTCTCTGGCCCGCCACACACAGACCCACAACAGCTGCCCAGTCAACTTTAGGCGAGTAAGGCGGAGAAGGTAGCTGTCGGTCTATCTGCAGCTCCAAGAGCGCAAGGAGAGAACTTCTTGCCGATTTTGAGAGCGAGCGGGATTGAGAGAAAAAAACCCGAACAAATCTGTCCAATGAGCGGGCTCGAGGCGGAGTTTCTATGACGCTAAAGGGGATGAGGGGCGGGGGGAGGGCGGGGATTCGCGGTGGAGAGCGCCTGTTGCGCTTTATCAGAAAAAGAAAAAAAACCCGGGCGCGTTTGTTCTTCTGTTACAGTTCTGTGATTCTAAAAAAATTAAAATAAAATAAAACCACACACAAGAAGGCAGCAGTGTGCTGTTACTGGGGAGTAAGTAGCATTGAACACTATGGGACTTGCTTCTGAGTTGTTTTTGCACGCATCTTATCAGAAGTAAGCCTTCTGGAGTTCGGTGGAACTTGGCCCCGAATCAGTTGCCACGAGGTTCTTTCGCTTTTTGCTGCTGATTAGCTCAACTGTCTCCTCTGAAATATGTGAAAGGGATGTTTTAGACACAACAGCATGAAGCGCTTGGGGTCACTGATTTAAAAGACAAAGAGCTTAAAACCGTTTCGATGTCCTTGAACTACTGACTAGTTATTAAAGGCAAATGTTTAGTTATACGGAGGTGTATTTAAATTTTTTTTTTTTTTAAACCACAGAAACCAAACACGATGTTGCTTCTTGCACTTCGTCCTCGCGTTTCATCTTAGTTTTGCAAACTGCTCTAGAGTCATTTCTGAAAGGTGGCACAAATTTTTTCGTTTCGTTGAAGTCAATTAAACAAATTTGTACAGTATGTACAAAATATTAAACGGCCGTTGATAAGAAAAACAGAAAAGCATGTTTTAAAAATAAAAATCTAAGACTTTATTCTATCCACAACATTAAAAAGAAGACTATTACATAGCTGGCATTTGTATCTTTACATTGCCTTGAAACTCCCCCCCCCCCTGCAAATTTTCCCTATACTGATCACTCCACAAACAAATGAACTGAGTTAATCTTTTTCAAAATAAAACCAAAGCATGTTTTCTGCAGCTATCTTTTTACAGGTTCATTATGGCATATGTTTTGCTGATTTGGTGCCCAGTCAGGTGTATTTTGCCTCATTTGGATATACATATTATATGTATTTGTGAGTAGAGAAATGGGGAAATGCTAGACACCGGGAACAAAAAGGCTATTGCATGCAAGAGAGCCGTTTTGTGATATATCTGTGTACAGTCCCAGTGTGTACAGGGTAAGCAGAGCAACTATTCTCAATTACTATTGAGAATGTTCTATTACTATTGGTAGTAATAGAAGGAGACCTATTCCAGTGGCACAGTAAGTGGAACATAGGAGAAGATGCAGGATCCATTCTCGTGGAGGATCTTAATGCATGTTCTTTGAATGCCTGGGAGGGAATATGACCTTCCCCTGCTTAGAATCTTCCTAACTTTGCTTTGCTAAGGGTTTATTTACCGTATTTTTCTCTCCATAACACTCACTTTTTTCCTCCTAGAAAGTAAGGGGAAATGTCTGTGCGTGTTATGGAGTGAATGCCTACGGATGGCGGGGGGATCTGCTGCAGTCGTGAGCAGAGGATCCATGGTTCCCCTTCCTTCCCTCCTCCGTGGCTCGCTTTGAAACAGCAAAGCGGGAGAGGAGCCGCTTACACCCCACGTGTGTTCCTTCTCCCCTTAAACCCCTCTTCTGCATTATTAGCAGCATCCTTCTCCACACACCCCACGCGCGCTCCTTTTCCCTTGAGTGCTTTTCCTTCCCTCCCCACTTAAAACGTGGTTACAAAGCACGGATCCACATGGATCCTCAGGATTTTTGCACTGGGTCACCCCAAATTCACCATCAGATCACATAGCATGTCCATGGCTACAGCCTGCACCAAAAAACACACATGCACCCACTGTTTCATGGGGCCGCAATGGCGCAAAAACGTGGTTACAAAGCATGGATCCACATGGATCCTCAGAATTTTTGCATTGGGCTGGCCCAAACTCACCATCAGATCACATGTCTGTGGCCACAGCATGAACCACAAAAATCATACACCCATTGTTTCATTTAGAATATTTTTTTTCTTGTTTTCCTCCTCTAAAAACTATGTGCGTGTTATGGTCAGGTGCGTGTTATAGAGTGAAAAAATTTGTATGCTGCCCTTCACCCAAATACAAAACAAAAACAAACCAATACCCCACCCCACAAACACATTTTAAAAGACATAGGATGTTAATCAGCCAAAGGCTATGGTTAAAGAGGAATGATTTTTCCTGGCACCTAAAGGTGTATAAGGAAGGTGCCAGGCACATGTCCTGGAGGAGAGCATTCCACAAGCGTGTAGCCACTGCAGAAAAGGTCTGTTCTCATGTTGCCACCCTCTGGACCTCTCATGAAGGAGGCACATGAAGAAGGGCCTCAGAGGATGAAAGCAGGGTCCAGGTAGAAAGGTGGTCTTTGAGGTACTGCAGACCTGAACCAGTTAAGGCTTTGCAGGTCAAACCAGCACTTTGAATTGAGCCTGGAAAGTAACTGTCACCCAATGCAGTCAGGCCAGAATTGATGTAATGTGCTCAAACCATTTTGCCCTGGTGAACAACCTGAGTGCTGGATTCTGCACCATCTGGACATTTAAGACTCTGAATTTTAATAGTTTTATCTGAGTATACACCATACATTTAAGCACATAGCTTCCCCCCAAGAATCCTTGGAGCAGTGGTTTGTTAAGGGTGCTGGGAACTGCATATTTGTGAAGTGTAAACTACCGTTCCCGATATTCTTTTGAGGAGGAGGAAATGACCTTTAAATCTTGGAGATAGTTGGTACAACTCGGAGAATGGGAGTGATTTCTGTATTGTTTTTTCAAAGCACTGGCTCATGTTGAATACTGTGCTCTTCCAACAGAAATAAAATTGAATCAGGTGTGCTTAGCTCTGTGCTGCTCTAATTATACTTGACATTATATTAGTTATCGCCAGAACGTAAGGGTTAAAAGAAATCCAGTTTTCTGCTCAGAATATTGCTTTATTTTTGCTGTTACAAATATACAATTTGGACATTAAAGAACAATTAGTATAAAATAAAAAATTCCCAATGACATACAGTACATAGCATTTATTGTTTTCACTTTCTGGATTCACTGGTTTGGGCTAGAACAATGCAACTTGCAAAATAAATGTAAGTGCACAATTTATTGCTTTCATTACTTTTTTTACAACAGTAAATTACAAATATGGAGAATTCTTTTAAGAAAAGCAGTTGTGGGAATGACTAGGACATCAGTATTGCTGGATTCTTATTAATAATTATATTCTCTCCCTAGAACATTTTATCCTGAATAATTATTTCACTTGAATTTTGTTTTCAAAAAGCAAGCAAGCAAGCAAACAAACAAGAGCAGAGTTTTTAAGGCTGCAGTCCCAACTCTGGTGGCCTGAAAATAAGCCCCATTGAATTAAATAGGGTTTAGTTCTGAGTTAGGATTGTGTTAATCTTCTCAGGGCTCCCTGTGCATGTATCCTACCTGACTTGCTTACACAGAGGCTAGATTACACCTGGTATCTATTGAACATTCATTCTGATTTGGTAGCTGGGAGGTTATAAGGATAATCAACAGTTATCCTGCTTCACTTGCTTGTAATCTTCCCATTGACCTCAAGCCTTCATAAGTCTTCCTGTTAATCAATTTTCAGTATGTTTCCATGCAAGTAACTGCAAAAAGTTATTCAAAAAAGATAAAATTGTTGGGTGAGGACTGGGAATGTTGTGTCTCTGAAACCCTGAATTTCTGCCAGCTGTCAGTGCAGCCCATATTGGTCCAACTCAGTTTAAGGTAGCTTCCTGTGTTCCTTTTGTATGCAATTTTACTCAAAAACAACTCTAATGGAGTTGAAACTTGCTTGCAAGAAAGTGGGCATGGAATCACTCAGCAACCTGATAGTTCACCAACATTCGCCTTTCTATTTTCTTCTTAGTGACATTTCACATACCTTTCCTGACCATTTATTCATTTCTCCCTACTGGCATTGGTTGACTCTCACAGCGTTGCTCTTCCTAACTGTTGCATTAAGTGTGAACTATGAAAAAACCTCGGCTTTTTGATCTACCATGCTTAGGAATAACAGACCCCTATCACCTAGCTTTTGTTAATGCCACAGCAAAAGAATAATGTCTAAAGACTGCTTATCCCACGGCAAACTAATAATAAAGATAACAGTACATATTCTCACACTGCAATTCTATGTGTTTTCTCAGGCATTGGTCCTGCTGTGGTCAGTGGGGCTTCCTCCTTGGTAAGTGTGTGTAGGGATGCAGCCGTAATGTCCAGTTTGTGTTCTCTGCAAGACCTCACAGACTACAATTCCCATCAGCCACAGCCAGCATTCACAATGGTCAGATATTTAGTCTAATAACATCTGTAGGGTGCCACGCTGGCCATCCCTGCAATAAACCATCATTAACTATTTATCATGAGTGTACAGATTGCTCCTGTCCTGCTAGTGCATGGGAGAAACAAACCACGATTCTTAGCTTAATCTGGCAATCGAGCCAGGGCTCATGGTTTGCTTTCCCTAAAGCAAAACCTGATATGCAAGCCAAGGTTTGCTCTTGGCATAACCACTGTAGTTTGCTTGGAGCCAAACAACCACAATACCTAGTTCAGATGCAATAGCAGCCAAGGTTTGTGGAGTTTTTCCCCCTCCCACTTGCAAAAAGGAGGGGAGCAAAACACGAGCAGTCTGCATGTTCTCAATGAACCATTAACCAAACCTTACAGTGGCACGTGAATGCAACATGGAGAGGTGGCAACTTATATAAAATATTGGGTGGCGTGTGGCAGGTAAGCCCTACCCCACAAAATCAATCACAGAACACAGCACACACATACCATTTGAATGGCAATGCCCATCAACTGGGAGGGGGGAGGACTGGTCCCCTCAAATAATCTATGGAGGGAGCTGAAGGGACCTTGGCCTCTAGGAGTTAGCTCCTATCGCAGCCTGTATATCTGTTGTTTTTTGTGCAAACTCTGAACTGTCAGAGACTTGGGAGAGAAAAGCAGCCATCTCTACATACCCTACATAACCTTTGCCACACATCCCCATACCATCCTATTTTCTCTACTGATAGTTCTGTAATTCAAGAGGGAAATTCTGCTGTTGCTCTTTGCCCATCCCATAGATACACTCTCATAAAAAAAGAAAAGAAAAAAGTCAGCAAACCAACGGATTGAGCTACATAGGAAGCTGCCTTAAATCAAGTCAGACCAATGGTTCATCTGCTTCGTATAATCAGCACTGGCTGGGAATGGCTGTCCAGGGTTACAGACAAGGGTCTTGCCCTAAACATACCTGGAGAATTCGCAGATTGAACCTAGAACCTTTTGCATGCAAAGCGATGGCCCAACTACAGAGCTAAGGCCCTTTCCCAGCCACGTAGCTCAAAGTGGAGGAATCATTTATCTCATTATGTATACCTGAAGCCTATGAAACTTTTATATACCAATTACAACTGATGATATTAAATCAACTGAAATTTCCCCTTTTCATTTTAACACATTTTTTTAAAAAGCATTATAAAAACAAGTTGGATAAGTGCTGGTGAACACTTGGCTTTCAGTGATGACCATTTGTTTACTTAAAGTAGTTTTCTAAAAGAGAAAGCAAAAGATGGTTTCAGAATGTCAGGGTGACTTGCAACTCTGCTGGTCCTTTCACTGAAATTGACAAAATGCTAACAGATTTCAAGCCCCTTCTTCACGAAGTACCACACTGATTTCCATGTGGTTTATTTGCAGATGATAGTTTCAACCAAACAAGGGCCATTGCAAGCAAGTTCAGCTAAATATCTTAGGAAGTTAGAGGTTTTTGGCATTTCATGATCTGTCTCCTGAAGTTCACTTTTGTGTGTGTGTGTGTGTGTGTACACAACTGCCTAAGGCAATTCCCCCGACAGTTGCGAGATATCTTTTCGCATCTATTTGCATCCAAATGTCCTGGAAAATACCTGGATGATCTTGGATAAACTCCTTTCTTGAGTCTCAACAACTGAGTTAGAATAGTGGACTGACTCAATTAACTCAGTCAGTAGAGCATGAGACTCTTAAGCTCACGGTCAAGGGTTCAAGCCCCACATTGGGCACAAGAGTCCTGCCTTGCAGAGGGTCAGACTAGATGGACTTCATGGTCCCTTCCAATTCTACAATTCTATGATTCTATGAAATCACAAAAGGCAGGAACACAAACTATGTGACAACACAACTGGACCCCCCTTCTGCAAGTTAAAGGTACTGCAGCAAATCACAACTTCACAAGTGACCTACAGCCCATCCTTGGGAATACTGAGAAAAGCAGTTGACGGAATACCATTGTCAGCACACAGACAGCTACCCAGCTTGAAATTACCACTTGCTGGCAGTCAGTTGACTAGGGGACGCATCAAGGGGTGGGATCCTGTAGCAAACCAAAGAGCCCTTTTAAATAATTAGATTTTAAATCATTAGATAAGCTCACAAATCACTTCCGGTCATTCATATATATGTGTATATATATCTATCTCCTTATGTCAGTAATGTTCAGATGAGATCCTGATCAAGAAAGAGAATGACTTGATACAAATCTGACACAAATAGCAAGAAGGCCAACCAACCAATTGATGGGTGAACCTTTGACTATCCTAGCCATTCCATCAAGGGCCTCAAAATGGCTATCTCCTCCATCAAATTCTGGGAGGAAGATACAGTGTGAAATTGTGCAATAGGAGCAGATGCAAAAAGAAAACAAACGTGTAATTTCATGAAGCAAAGATCACAGCGGGGAGTTTCCACTTCTTGTAAAACACGATGGAAGAAATAAAAGGGGCATCGCTTTAAGGTGGAGACTCTAACAATGGATACTGCTTCAGCATTGGCTTCCTTGCAGTTGCTTAATCTGGTGTAGCTAGCCATACTCAGTCAAAGCTTCAGCTTGTAGAATAAAATCAAAGAACTTTCTCAGACACCTGACGTCAACCTGATCAGAGCACTCCAATATCTGTTCTGCATATTTTAGCAATTAACTAAGATCGTTATAGCTTTGCATAGGTACATAGGGAGTTGCCTTAGTCAGGCTATCTAGTGCAGTATTTTATGGTTTTGGCAAGCATTATCTCTCCAGTTTTTTCCAGTCATAATGCTGAGATAACGCCAAGGACGGAATCTGAAACCACCCGCAAACATAAAATGTGTTACCGAGTCACAGTGTCCTTTGAAAATACATCTGTCTGAACATCTTCTGAAGGCCATCTTATGTGACCTTGCAGCTTCCGTGCTGGCACATCTCTATATTAATTTTAAAATACTTAATTTCCCCAACCTCCTATTCCCCTCCACCCCCACCCCAATAAAGACTGCTGTATATCTATCTTGGATAAAAAATATTTTGTATCAAGTTTTCAGTTATTATATAATCATAGTATGTAGTACTTTTTATAGTGCTTTGCATTTTTCAAAGTATTGCATGAACTTTAGCTAAGTCACAATTGCACATGTAAACCTGAAAGCTGAAGTCTAGAGTAGCCCAAAATATAAACCCCTGAGAATATAATTTCATGGTGGAAAAACACCAGTGTGTCACTATTGCTCAGACATAATTCATACACAATGCGTGTCAGGAGTTTTCTTGTTTTTAAAGGCTAATCAACTGGCAAATTCTGCTGTGTTAAGCTCCCACTGAAATGAGCAGGAACCACCCCCATTTCAGCAAGAAGTCCCCAGTGAACTGTGGCCCTTGTTCCTTTGGGTTGAGAAAAGAACATATTTACAGACTTATACACAAATAGCAATTTCTATTGAAACCAGATTATGTCACCAAAAAAACTAGAAGGAGCTTGGATGCTGCACTTGAAGTAAGGGCCACGAGTGCAAGCAAGGTTTGTAGGATCCATCTACAAACACCCCATTGTCTGTAAGCAATACATTGCTGTTTAAAATATCATTAGAAATACATTATACAGTAATAGTGTATATAGCAGTGTACTGTCATTACGTATACAAGGTTTCAAAACCTGATAAAAATCAGGATGTCTCCAGGAGAACCCAGCAGCCCCATATGACTTACGGGTAACGGATCTCTGGGGACTTCTCCCGGACTTGCCCCGACTGAAAAAAGAATCCAATAAGTCATTTTTGCTGAGAAGTAAAAGTTATCCCTTGTAAGTTCTGAGATGAAGATGAATACTTTTGGCTAAGATTTTTCAAGAAGAGCAAAAGGATACAAAACCAATTTAACATCAAGTGGATTTCCAGCTCACAGCAAGACATATATCTACATATTGTTGTCCAGAATGAAAAGATAAAACACTTAGCAAAACAACACTTCAATATTTATGTGAAAAGAAAAGAAAATCGAACTTTTCCACAGCTGAAGGACGGTATAATGATGGTAGGGTTCTTGTTACTCCTTGTGGAAAAATATGGAAACGTCTGCAACCGGCTTCCTTTTTACATCCAGTGGGAAAGATCAAACGATATTTCATCCTGATGTGATTTACCAGTTGAATAGTATGTTCTGGCCAAGTGTCATAAAGTATATTTGACTGCTGCCTCCAGACTGAACAGATGCAAAGAACACCTTGAGAAGAAAATGGGGGGGGGGGGGGAGCTAATGTTACTTTATGTTGATAAGAACATTTTAGCCATATCTGAGAATGTGGCATATACATCTACAGTGGTGCCCCGCAAGACGAATGCCTCGCAAGACGAAAAACTCGCTAGACGAAAGGGTTTTGCATTTTTTGAGTCGTTCCGCAAGACGAATTTCCCTATGGGCCTGCTTCGCAAGATGAAACATCTTGCGAGTTCTTGCAAGTTTGTTTCCTTTTTCTTAAAGCCGCTAAGCTGTTAATAGCTGCTAAGCCGTTAATAGCCGCTAAGCCGCTAATAGCCGTGCTTCGCAAGACGAAAAAACTGCAAGACGAAGAGACTCGCGGAACGGATTAATTTCGTCTTGCGAGGCACCACTGTACACACACACACACACACACACACACACACACACACTCCATGTTAATTCAAAGAGATATGCACTTCTTTTACTGTTTTAAAAATACAAAAACTGTCTAGTTGAATCAGACCAAATTTCACCAGCTCCAATGTTCTGCATCTAACAGCAGCAAGCCCAATGAACCTTGGTGTTTACAAGCAACACATGAAAGTTTGTCCTAAGGATCTGGCATAAAGATGTGTGCTGCGGCAAAAGGAGATCCAACTCAGTGACCAATACTGGTCCTAGGCATCTTTGTAATTATTATTTTCCCCCTCATTCATTTTTTAAAGGCGTCAAAGTAATGAATCTCATAAGTTAATTACACAGAAGCACTTCCTTTTGTTTGTCATGCTAATTATTATTAAAAGGGCTACATTAATTGTCACTGCATGATGTATTCTCCATTCACACACATCAGAAAAGAAGATACTTAGAACCATTTATCAATGGTTTCAAGTGGGCGGTAAAAAGAAACAGCAATTTTCTCAAACTACAGGATAGATATGGAGTGTGGCTAACGTCATGTGTGCACAGGATGGATTCAAAAGCCACTGGTAGGAGTAAGTGGTTATGTGCACAGATAGCTCCCAAGTAAGTTCAACTTCTGGATCTTCAGCAACAGAGTAGTCTGCCCAGACCACAGGGCTGTCTGGGCCTGATAGGAATTGGAAGCCCAACAGCTTATGGCATCAGCTTCTAGAAAGCTGGCTTAGACCCTGCTAGACTTGATGGACCAATGCTGTGATTCAGCAATTGACAAATGTGTGTTAATGGTGGTTGATGGCTTTTCAATAGATCAAAGGGCTAGAAGAATATTACTGACTGATTTATTGATTGGACTTATTAGCTGCTTGTTACCCAAAGGTCTCCATGCAATTCACAGCACATTTAAACATAAGCAAAGACAAATTATACCATAATCAGGCACACACAACACTCCTACAATTCATTTGCGTATGGATGTTCCCCCCTGGGACCATGGGGGGAAAAGAAGGGCAAATAATAAATTAAAATAACATGACACCACCACCAAACAACACCCCATTAAAATTGGGAAATTTCTCAAGAATGTTCTGATTTTTATTTATTTTTTTTAAAAAGGGAAAGAAAATTTGATGCCTTTCCCAAGGCTGAATGTATTTGTGTAAAATAACAGAAACAGATTTTTGGATATTAAAACAAGACAAAACAAAACAAAACAAAAGACAAAACAAAACTGCAGTTTGAGAGAGATTCAGAGAGAGCTGAGTTGGGAGGTGTAAGCTGAAAACATCTGGGGATATGATCGCAAAAAGCAGTGGATCTGCTAGTTGCAGGAGTGCTTAAGTTATTCGTGCTCTGCCTGTACATGTGTGAATAAATCCAAACATTATAAAACACCAAGAGGTTGGCAGCGACCTTGGCTTTCTAAAGAAGCCAAACTCAGGCAACATCTCACTGTTTGGAAAAGTGGAAAGTGCCCAACCAGGGCCGTCTTACCCATAGGTGCTAGAGGTGTGGGGCACCTGGGTGCCAGGCTCTCAGGAGCGCCAGGCCGAGAGTCTGGGGCCTGAGAGTTGAGTCTGGGGAAGAGCCTGTCTGCCTGTCAGAGTGCTGTGGCAGGCTCTTCTGCAGCGGACGGCTCTGCGCCATGAGTTGGGGGGCGACTGAGCCAGCGAGACACTGAGGCGGCTGGCCGGCTCTGCCCTCCTGCGCACCTGGGATTGGGCAACCGGGGGGCGGTCACCGGGTGGATCTTTGCACCCCGGTGCCACATATGCTTAAGACAGCCCTGTGACCAACAATAGGTTCCCCTTTGCAGGGATTTTTCAGGCAGGCAAAGGTACTCCAACAATACCTTTTGAGAGCAGAGCTCCCTTCCTCAGCAGCTGTAAACAACTGGCAGCTTGCTGATCCTCTCCCAAGCCCCCTCCCCAATCTGATGTAGAGCCCTGCCTCTCATGAAGAAGAGAACCAACACAACTAATTGTTTTTCTTACGTTGGCGTGTGATCTTGCAGCGTTTAGCACACGTACCTTATCGTTCCTTTCACAAAGAAACTTCAGCTTCTGCGCTTTCTTGTGCATAAACACACCTTCCAGGCTTCCCGTCTCCACCGAGCGCAGTTCAATAGCTTTCTCTCCCCAGCCCATAACTTGGTTCGACTGAAGGTAGGCTTAAAAAACACACAAAGGAGCGCATGTTAGTAGAGTAAAACGAAGAAACAAAGAAGGCAGGGAGGGACAAAAAGAAGAAGAAGATCGTTCTTAGGGTGTTTTTTTTTAAAGGGAGTTTGTCAAGGATGTGGGAATGTTGTGTGGTTGGGGGTTTTTTTTGGTAAGCAATATAAAACAAATAACTATAAACTATACAAATTGTGCATTATGTGTTGAATATGAAACTATGAATTATGTAGACCAGTGAAAGTTCAGACAGGGTGGAGGGTGAAAAGTTACCTGAGAAATTAAGATTAATCATGGTTCTGATTGGTTCACAGTGCTCATGGGAGCACAGAGTCCATTGATGTCAACCCAAAAGCCCAGGTCTGTCCCGATACTGGGATATGCAGTTATTGCAGCTTATAGTGTCCAAAGTCAGGCATACTGTGCTGGCCATGCAATTATTCTGTTTTATCATTGCTCTCACAGCTGCATGATGCCAGCAGTGTGGCGAGGGGCAAACCATAAAAAAAAAACAGAGGAAATTTGCAAGCTTGGTTTAGTCCCCTCCACCTACAAGCTGATTGACCCGTTGAAATTAGGCCATCCTGCCAGGCCACTGTGGCTAAAGTAGGAGTTGCCAGGCATCCGCTTACAGCATGGTCATGCGGGAAGAAGATGGCAGTGGAACTGGGCTATGGCTGGGGGGCAAACATCACTCCCCGGAGCCCCAGGTGAGCAGAGATTAATGTAAAATAATAATAATAATGCCAAGTTGCATAGAATGAACCTGCACCATCGGGTCCCTTTATAACTCATAACTGATGTCTTCATTTTCCAGAATGCCTTTATTCTGACCAATCAAAACATCTCAAAATGGTCCTCAAACATTTGAGTTCACCAGAACTCTTTGTCAGGTCCAATGTTAAGCAAAGCAGTGTGCAAGTATGACAAGGAAGCTGCCTTGGAATTGAAGCCATAATGTCTGCATTGATCAAAGGTTTGTTCTTGTTGTCTAGTCTTAGAAGGGGTGTGGCTATGGACTGTCTGTCAGAATTTATCTCTGCATCGCACTTTCCCAATAAGAGAGTCTAGAGGATGTCTCAGCTCACTAAGAGTTGGCATTTGCATTGCTTCCTTCCTTAATATGCAGCCAGAGCTTTATATGCTAACAAACAGAATTTTGGGTTGATCAAGATTCCTCTCCTTACCCATCTCCCACGTGTGTGGAGAAACTATTATGAATCATGGTTCACCTCCTGCTTCCTTGCCCTAGGCAGGACACTTGAAACTGGTTTAGTGGTACAGTAACAACATCTCCCAAGGGAACAGTAAATGTGTTTGCATTGGTATTGTAGAGGAGCCCTTATATCTTTAACTGAATTCTCATTGCCTTCACCAAGTAGAACTCTCAGGATTCTTTGAGCAAAGGTGTCACAGTGTTATACTAAATTTTCCAGGTTAAATATAATTCTCAGGGAAGCTGCAACAGTTTGGGCCAGGTTTCTTCCATTTCTACAGAACAAAGCTATAGTTAGCTGACATTTCTAGAGAGCCACAAAGCATCCTCAGAAGTGTGCTGGCAACCAGAGAACACGGGATGTGTGTTTCCTCCAGGGCAAGTCTGAACTCGCCTGATCTATTGTTAAAGTATCATGTTGTAGCTTGGTCTTCCTATAAATATATAGCTAACTCTGTTGTTAGATGCTTGAGAATCAGTCTCCGTACGAAGAGATTCTGGATTTCTAACCCAGAAACTTCTGGGTGGGTTTGTTTTTTACTACAATTCTCCTGCAATGAAGTGAGATACAATCTAGTTGCCTATTACTCCAGTTTTTGCTGATACAAAATTCTGGACATTTGGAGCACAGGAAACCACCTTACACTGGGTCCGACAAATGGCTGTGCAGCTCAGAAGTGCCTACATTGACTGGCAGAAACTGTATGGTGCAGTGGTTAAGAGCGGTAGACTCATAATCTGATGAACCGGGTTCATGTCTTTGCTCCTCCACATGCAGCTGCTGGGTGACCTTGGGCTAGTCACACTTATCTGAAGTTTCTCTGCCCCACTCACTTCACAGAGTGTTGTGGGGGAGGATGGGAAAGGAGATTGTTAGCCACTTTGAGACTCCTTCGGGTAGTGATAAAGCAGGATATCAAATCCAAACTCCCCTGCTGCTTTCTTCTTCTTCTTCTTCTTCTTCTTCTTCTTCTTCTTCTTCTTCTTCTTCTTGATTTCAGACAGGGGACATTCCTAGCTCTACTAGCAGATGCCAAGGATTGAACCTGGAATCTTCTGTATGGAAGGCAGATATGCTACCACTAAAGCATAGCCTTTCTCTGTGATGACCCTGTTAGGACAATTCTATTTCCTTTGTGCATTTGTAAATTTCTACTTAAAGTAAATCTGTGCATTCCATTCTTTTTGCAAGAAAATAATATGGAACATTTTAACCAAATTTATCTGCCCACTTGTATTTTCAGCCACATTGCTAAGAAAATATAAGAGGGATATGCAAAACTAAGCATGGTTTCAAACTGGAGGGGGGAACCATGCGTTGAGATTCCTGCATTGTACAAGGTTCGACTAGATGACCCTAGGGGTCCCTTCCAACTCTACAATTCTATGATCATATCTCTTCCCACTATTTTATCTTCGCTACAATCCTGTGAGGTGGGTGGGAGACAGTTAATGTCCCAAGATTTCCCAGTGAGTTTCAAGTTTCCCCACCCTAATCCAATGCCTTTAACTACAATATTATACTGGCTCTAACTGTTAAAACTCATTACCAGTTTTGATTTCTTAACGAATGCCGCTATTCCTGATAGTAAGAAGAGGAGACTAAGAGGAGATATGATAGCCATCTTCAAAAATCTAGAGGGTTGTTACATGGAAGGTGGAGCAAGCTTGTTTTCTCCTGCTCTGAAGAGTAGGACTGAAACCAGGATAATGAGAAGTAAAAACTCTCCCACGGATTCCAGAGACGTTATAGAAGCCATGACAGTTAACTACGATAACTAGAATAAAACGGATATATGCTTGTAGTGTAGATTTTGAGAGGTCCCACTTTTGGATAATGTAAATTTCAAACTTTCAGCTTCTGTTTCCATTTGAGAGGGGATGTTGTGTTTCTAAAATATCATCCTCTCTTCCTGTCCGACAAAGTCCTGTCTTTTAGTCGTACACCTCTAGAATAGTCAATAAATTAAATACTGGAGTTCTATAATTTTAATTTCCCTATGGAGTCAAGTTTCCTCATTCCAATTACTAAATTGGCTACATACCTTCTGTCAGCTTAAAATGAGTAAGATGGGTTTTCCTTGACCTGCACCTATAAATTATATTTCATCCCTTACTAATTTTTGCAAAGGCCTAGACATTTCTTTTTCTTCCTAACATTGTGTAAGTAGCAGCTAGTTGCAATTCAGAGCCAGTCCATATTCCTACAAACTTCAAGACAATTGGGTGGCTATGGGGATCTGTCAAAAAGAACAATTTAGCCTTTAAACGGCTCAGGGTGGCAACATCTCAAAGACTCTCTCTTCCCATATGCAGTGACCCAAGACTTGCAATCATCATCTGAGGCCCTTCTTCATGTGCTTCCTCCATATGAGCTAACGCCTAGGGGCTGTGGGGGCTTCAGCCCCCACAAAAAATACTGCAATACACTCTACATGGGGCTACCTGTGAAGGTGACTTGGAAACTACAACTAATCCAGAATGCGGCAGCTAGACTGGTGACTGGGAGTGGCCACAGTGATCACGTAAAGGATCTTCACTGGCTCCCAGTACATTTCTGAGCACAATTCAAAGTGTTGGTGCTTACCATTAAAGCCCCAAACAGCCTCAGCCCTGTATGCCTGAAGGAGCGTCTCCACCCCCATTGTCCAACCCGGACACGAGGTCCTCCTCTGTGGGTCTTCTGCTGGTTCCCTCACTGTGAGAAGTGAAGTTACACGGAACCAAGCAGAAGGCCCTCTTGGCAGTGGCACCCTCCCTGTGGAATGCCCTCCCACCAGATGTTAAGGAGATAAAGTATTACACAACTTTTAGAAGACACCTGAAGGCAGCCCTGTATCTGGAAATTTTTAATGTTTGATACTTTACCATGTTTTATATATCCTGTAAGCCACCCAGAGTAGGAAACCCAGCCAGATCGGTGGACGGGGTATAAATAATAAAATTATTATTATTGTTTATTATTATTATTATTATTATTATTATTATACAGGGTTTATTGTCTGTCTCTCTGGTTATAAGTCACTTTGAGTGGCCCTGGGCAAGACAAAGCTATTGAGAAACTTAACCACAAATAAACAAGGAAAGAAAGATTTCTCTTGTTGGAACCTAGTCAAGCCTAGTAAACCCCATTAAATAATGTCAATGGTGCAATTTACAACACATCATTTTGCATTGTTGTTGTTTTTTGAACAAAGGAACTTAAGAAGAGATCTGCTGGGTAAGACTGAAGCCCATCGTGTCTATCTTCTTCTCACATTGGCCAACCTGATGTTATTATGTTATTGTTATATCTACAGGATGCCTGCAAATGGAAGTGAAGTGCAATGTGATTTCCCAGAAACTGGTATTCAGAGGAGTACCACTTCCAATATGGGAGGTGGTCCACAGCTGTGGTTCATGATTAGTTGCTATTGGCAACCTTATCTCCATGGTCTTGTCTTAACCCTCTGTTAAAATCAACAATGAACTAATTCTCACAACATTCTAGTGAATTTGGTTGATCCATGACACCCTCCAACATTTCTCCGATGAACATAGGGATGCCCTATTCAATTAATAATAGTAAGGATGATGATGATGTTATTATTTATACTCTACCCATCTGACTGAATTGCCACTCTGAGCAGCTTCCAACTTATTAAAAAAACACATAATAAAACATTAAGCATGGAAAAAGCAACAACCCTTCCCTATGCAGGGCTGCCTTCAGATGTCTTCTAAAGGTTGTGTACAGTAGTTACTTATCTCCTTGGCTTGGGGGTCGCATAACTCCATACCCTCCAACGAAAATAGGGGCATCCTAAGGAAAAGCAGGACATTCCAGGATCAAACCAGAAACAGGGACGGCTTCTGCAAATCTGGGCCTGTCCCTGGAAAATAGGGACACTTGGAGGGCCCGCATTCTTTATATCAAAATCAATTCCAGGAAAACCCTGGCTATACTTTAGAACCACATTTACAGTGGTGCCCCGCAAGACGAATGCCTCGCAAGACGAAAAACTCGCTAGACGAAAGGGTTTTGCGTTTTTTGAGCCGTTCCACAAGACGAATTTCCCTATAGGCTTGCTTCGCAAGACGAAACGTCTTGCGAGTTCTTGCGAGTTTGTTTCCTTTTTCTTAAAGCCGCTAAGCCGTTAATAGCCACTAAGCCGCTAATAGCCGTGCTTCGCAAGACGAAAAAACCTCAAGATGAAGAGACTCGCGGAACGGATTAATTTTGTCTTGCGAGGCACCACTGTACCTCAAAGATACTGTTTCATGTGATAGTGCAGCCTACTAGGGCCTACCCAGATTTTTTTTGTTTTGTGATTTGGGGGTGGGGGGAAGCCACCAATATGGCAGAAGATGGTCATCAGGTGGGGATGAGCAAGCAAGCATTGGACCACATTCGTCCTCACATCTGCCATTAGTTTATCACCAACCCTTTCTGGGACAGAGAGGGAGACGGGTTGGTGAACAATGCATATGGCATTGGTAAGAGAAGGGAGGTTCAGGGAGCTCTCAATTGTGGGCTGACCATTCTGACCCCTCAGTGCCTGTTGGCTACCAGTACCAGGCAGGAGAGGGGAAACTTATGATGCTGTGATACCAAGGGCATAGGTAAATTTATTATTCTTATTCACCCTCACCACCACCATCATCATAAATTAGCAGCTTAATGCCAACCTAGACTTCTAAGCAGTTTATGAAGTAAACCCTAGTAAGCATCCTAGTTCCACTAAAGCAACATACCAATTTAAGCAGAAGACTCAGTCAGAAATGAAGGAAATGCTTCTTTAATTGTACTAGAAGGTCACAGAGTGAGTTAATTGGATGTTGCCACTAGAACACCACAGCTGTATCATATCAGTTTGAGGGTGTTTTATGTGGGAACAGATACTAGAGTAAAATAACTTCAGAAACAAAAGCCATCTGTCTGTGAAAAACAAGTTTGTTTTCTCAGTCATTATCATCAGGTAGTGTCAGCAATGTAGGATGGACTGAATTGGGAAATGTTCCTTATAGGGGGGAAAATGCTGTCTGAAACACTTCTGGAATAAAATACCTTCTTGTTTTTTCTTTCTATTTTAAAGAGTCTTTCAAATAGTCTTCTAAGGATGTTGAGAGTTGTTAGGAGACACCACTTCTATTCCGCTCACAAAGCAACAATTCCTACCAGAGTGGTTTAACTCTGGGAACTGTAGTTCTGGGAGGGAACTAGATGTCTCCTAAAAGCTCTCAGCACCCTTGACAAACTACGGTTCCCAGGAGTGGGGGGGTCTTCATGTTTTTTCCCCTTTCTTCTCTGCTGCACCACAAACATTGTCATATATTCCTAATTTAGGCCAAGGTGAATTAGAGAAAGATACCACAGCACAGACTTTGCTGAGAAATGTCGGCCGTGGAATGGGGCTGGGGGAGAAACCAGCTTGCACCTCACTAGGAAACCTTTGGAAAGTGAATCGCAGCCTGCCGATTGGTCCATTTCGTTTGGGAAACAGTTCCAAGAATACTGACAGAATCTCCTTAGAGCACTGGGTGGGGAGCAACAGAGTGATCTTGGCACGGATTCGGGAGCCACCAGTATGATCCAGTAGATGAGAACTTTGGTATTCTCCCTAGAATTTGCAACATTAAAGCAATGATGGCATACTAAATGAGACTCTGAGCTACTCTGGTTCATAGGGATTAAAAAAAATATCAAAATGCCGCTGATGCAATGTGGCTGCAGCTTTGTGGAGGAAGTAACATGTACGAGACAGGGCTTGGAAGCTAATGCCTGAACCTTAAGAAATCACATTTGCATGGTTTATCTCCCATCTGAAAGGGAGGCAGAAATAGAAAGAGTGGAATGGCAGGGACACCTGTGGCCTGTGTATTTAAAGTATATTTAAAGAGTTATGGGAACTGCGGGTTTACCCCCTCTCAAAACTACAATTCCCAGCACCCTTAACAAACTACAGCTCCCAGAATTCTTTGGGGATAAGGCCTGAGCTTTAAATGTGTAGCATGTACATAGCTCAGCTTCCACTGGCTCAAGTCAGCTTGTCCCGTAAGTCGGGAATAATGGAAAACCGAGTTCAAAAACAACAACATCCATAGTGCCACAGGT